CACTGTTGGAGGGTCAGTGCTGAGGGAGTGCCGCACTGTTGGAGGGTCCGTACTGAGGGAGTGCCGCACTGTCGGAGGGTCAGTGCTGAGAGAGTGCCGCACTGTCGGAGGGTCAGTACAGAGGGAGTGCCGCACTGTCGGAGGGTCAGTACAGAGGGAGTGCCGCACTGTCGGAGGGTCAGTACAGAGGGAGCGCCGCACGGTCAGAGGGTCAGTACAGAGGGAGCGCCGCACGGTCGGAGGGTCAGTGCTGAGGGAGCGCCGCACTGTCGGAGGGTCAGTACTGAGGGAGCGCCGTACGGTCGGAGGGTCAGTGCTGAGGGAGTGCCGTACTGTCGGAGGATCAGTGCTGAGGGAGCGCCGCACTGTCGGAGGGTCAGTGCTGAGGGAGCGCCGCACTGTCGGAGGGTCAGTGCTGAGGGAGTGCTTTGTGTCAGTATCTGTACGCTTCATCGGTACAAAGACCCTTTCAAAGAGCCCTGATAACTGTGGGTGGTAGTCCGGGTGCTATATAAATGCATGTTGTTGTTTCTGTTGCAGTGCGGCGTGAGGACCAGGCACTGACCATCCTGGCTCCGTGCCGGGATATTACGGTGAATGCCGGTGAGTCTGCCTGTTTCGAGTGTGAGGTCCGGGGTCCTCCTGATGTTGATGTGGACTGGTTGACCAATGAGAAGCTGGTCCAACCTGCACTGCTCAACTGCAAGATGCACTTTGACGGCAAAAGATGCAAACTCCTTCTGAACTCGGTGCACGAGGACGATACGGGAGTGTATACCTGCAAACTCAGCACCGCCAAAGGTCAGTGACACACAGCAGCTAACAACAGCAAGTCCGATAGGATCGGCGTTAGACAGTTTGGCCCCTTCGAGCCTACTCTACCCCCCAGAAATAATCAAATAACTGCAGGTGCTGAAAATCAGACACAAAACCAGAACCTGTGGAGACAAAGCAGGGTTAAAAATTTTGGGTCCAGCGACCCTTCTTCAGAAGATGTTGGACAGGTGTAAATTGTCCTATGGTGTCCAGGGATGTTCAGGCTTAGTGGGTTAGACACGGGAAATGCAGGGTTTCAGGGATAAAGTGGGGTGGTGAGGGTCTGGGGGGTTGCTCTTCGGAGGCTCAGTGTGGACTCGATGGGCCGAATGGCCTGCTTCCACACTGAAGGGGACGCTAGGTCAGACCTTGTGAAGAAGGCTGACCAGACTGGAGACTTCAAGCCCTGCTTTCTCTCCGCCAAAGCTGCTAGGCCTGCTGAGTTTTTGCAGCAATTTCTCTCTTTTCTTTCTGTTCGGAATGATGAGCCGACTGTTCCTTCTTCTGTTGGGACATGTCTCCATCCCAGAGAATATTGACCCAGTGCGTGACTTCTTATTTCCCTGAAAAAAGAGGGGGCAGGCTGCTGGGGGAATAACAGCAAGTTTTATTCAGTATACGTGAATCCGTCAGCATCGTTTATCAAACCGTGGGGCCTGGCCTCGGTGAAGGGCTTTCTGACCTTTGGCCTTTCTCCCTCGCACAGATGAGAAGACATGTAGTGCCAAGCTGACGGTGCTGCCCTCTGTCTCCCCACTCTTCACCAAGAAGCTGGAGGATGTCTTTGTGATCGAGGGCAGGACGGCCCACCTCGATGTGAAAGTGAGCGGGACCCCCCCGCCCACCATCACCTGGATGCACTACGGTAAACCGCAACCCCCAGCCCCAACAACCCCCGGGCGACGAAGCGCGGACGAAACATTCCGGTTACTCTCGTACCGTCCCCGGCAACACAGCCTACCGGGAGAACGCTGCCTGCAGTCAAGTTTCTTTACTGCTCGAAGCGCAATTGCCCGTCGGTGCACAGCAAGATCCCACGGGTATCGCCGTGCGAGCCACTCGGCTCAAGGGGAGCTGGGAGTTGGCCAACCCAAGCTGGCCTGGCCAGTGATGCCCATCAACTGTCACATGGCCTTTGTTGAGGGGTCAATTTTGGCCCATGGTGCTTTGGCCGACTCTCTAGGTTCCTCAGACACACGGTGGTGGGGAGGGGAGGGGTGGGGTGGTTGGTTAGTTTTATTACCTTAACATAAAGAGAGTGCCTGTGACCATGCAGCACCTCCCTTGGCACCGCACTGACATCGTCAACGTAGCCCTTGCTCCAGGAGCCCAACACAGACTATCTCAAGTGTCAGCCATTGCTCAGTGGGTAGTACTCTCACTCTGGGACAAGGGGGCTCTGGGCTCAAGGCATCACTGCAGGAACCTGCCACAAGTACCTCATAAGAAACAGGAGCTGAAGCAGGCCATTCAACCCTTCAAGCCCGTCCTGTCATTCAACAGGATCATGCCCAATGGAATCCAGACATCGATTTCTCCTTTGTAACAGTTCCTCGGAGCTCTCAGCTCCCTGATATTTCAGAACATCAATCTCCTTCCTCTTTTTAAACACCGATAGTCATCTAGTCTCCACAACTCTCTGGGCTAGAGACCCAGCAGAATGTGGAAGCAGGCCATTCGTCCCATCAAGTCTACACCAACTCTCCGAACTGCATCCCACCCAGAGCCAGCTACCCACCCTATCCCATAATCCTGCATTTCCCCTGGCTAATCCCCCTTGCCTGCACATCCTTGGACACTATGGGTAATTTAGCATAGTCAATCCACCCTAACCTGCACATCTTTGGACTGTGGGAGGAAATCGGAGCACCCGGAGGAAACCCACGCAGACACGGGGAGAATGTGCAAACAGACGGTTGCCTGAGGGTGGAATCAAACCCAGGTCCCTGGCGCTGTGAGGCAGCAGTGCTAACCACTGAGCCATCGTGTCTCTCTCCATTTAAATAACAATCTGGTTTTTGTTTCTTTCTGCAGAAGTGCGTTATCTCACATTTTCCTCCTTTGAACTCCATCTGCCAGGTTTATGCCCACTCCCTCAATCTATCTCTATTCCCTTTGCAAATTCCTTACATCCTCATCGCAACATGCTTTCCCACCCATTTCTGTATCACATTACACTCTGTCCCCTCCAGGTCATTAATATGGACAGGAAGGAACAGACACCCTACCACTGAGTTGTATTGCATTTCACTAGTTACACATTTCCAATGTGAAAAAGACCCAACAATCCTGACTGTCCTCTGTGTGTTAAACAATCCTCAATGTATGCTCGTGTACCATCTCCAATACATTGCTCTCCCACCATGTTCAATAACCTTTTAAGTGACATCTTATCGAATGTTCTCTGGAAATCCAAAAACCCCACATCTACTGGGGTCCCCTTTCTCAACTTTGCTTGTTATATCCTCAAAGAATAGGTGAATAATAAAAAAGATTTTTCCCCAGGGTAGGGGAGTCCAAAACTATAGGGTATCGGTTTAAGGTGAGAGAGGTAAGATTTAAAAGGGACCTAAGGGGTAACTTTATCACACAGAGGGTGGTGTGTGTATGGAATGAGCTGCCAGAGGAAGTGGTGGAGTCTGGAACAATTACAACATTTAAAAGGCATCTGGATGGGTATATGAATAGGAAGGGTTTAGAGGGATATGGGCCAAATGCTGGCAAATGAGCCTTATTTAGAATATCTGGTTGGCATGGACCAGTTGAACCAAAGGATCTGTTTCTGTGCTGTACATCTCTATGACTTTATAATGGCAGCAAATTTGACAAACATGATTTCACCTTCACGAAACTGTATGACCCTGATTGCATTCAGCTTCTTCCAATATCCTGCTATTTGTTGTTGAAGAGAATCAAGCATTTTCCCAATGACAGCTGTTTGTTTAACAGGCCCATAGCCTCCTGCTCTCTGTCTCCCTCTAATATTAGCAATTTTCACTCCATTGGAACTCTCCTGGAATCCAGGGAGTTCTGGGATATTTTGACCAAAGCCTCTTCTATCTCTGATGCTGCTTTCTTTAAAACCCTCTTTAAAAGGCAGATGGATGGAAGCCGTCAGGACCTAGACTTGTCTGCCTTTATTCCCACAAACTTGTCCAATGCTTTGTCCCCTGTGCTCAAGACTGTTATAGGACCTTTCGTCCCATTAACATCATGTTCCTCTGATACCTTTGGGATCTTTATAGCATCCTCCATTGTGAAGACCGATGCAAAATATTAATTAATTAAACCTGTCCGCCATCTACAAGGCACAAATCAGGAGTGTGATGGAATACTCCCCACTTGCCTGGATGGGTGCAGACCCAACAACACTCAAGAAGCTCAACACCATCCAGGACAAAGCAGCCGCTTGATTGGCACCACATCCACAAACATCCCCTCCCTCCACCACCGACGCTCAGTAACAGCAGTGTGTACTAACTACAAGATGCACTACAGAAATTCACCAAAGATCCTCAGGCAGCACCTTCCAAACCCACGACCACTTCCATCTAGAAGGACAAGGGCAGCAGATACATGGGAACACCACCCCCTGCAAGTTCCCCTCCAAGCCCCTCACCATCCTGACTTGGAAATATATTGTCGTTCCTTCACTGTCACTGGGTCAAAATCCTGGAATTCCCTCCCTAATGGCATTGTGGGTCAACCCACAGCAGGAGGACTGCATCGGATAAAGGAGGCAGCTCACCACAATCTTCTCATGGGGCAACTAGGGATAGGCGAGAAATGCTGGGCCCAGCCAGCAACATCCACATCTCTCTAATGAATAAAAAATATTGAAATTATCTACCATTTCCCCGTTAGAATTCCCCACTTGTGTCTTCTAAGGATCCTTCGCTCATTTTAGCTGCTGTCTTTCTTTCTACGTACGTGGAGTCATAGAGTCATACAGCATGGAAACAGACCCTTCGGTCCAACCAGTCCATGCTGAACATAATCCCAAACTAAACTATTCCCACCTGCCTTCTCCTGGCCCATATCCCTCCAAACCTTTCCAAACCTCTGTTATCCAAATGTCTTTTAAACATTGTAACTATACCCACATCCACCACTTCCTCAGGGAGTTCATTCCACACACGAACCACACTCATATAAAAGATTTCACCACTTTATATACCTGACACTCCCACATAGCAATGGATGACATGCCTCCTGCCACAGTTTAATATTGGAATTGCAATCCCCGAATCTATCGAAGAGCTGTTAATTAACCCAAGTAATATATTTAATTATTTGTGAATAAAAGTTGTAATAATGTCCTGCTTAAATGAAACATAAACATTGCTGAGGAAGAGAGAGGCATATTACTGAGGTTTCAGTCTTGCACTTAACACTGGTTCAAAAAGGCTTTCTGCCTACCACAGAATTGAGGGATGCGGTGGGATGTCACTAAAATGCCAGGTCCCAACCTGAACCCAACAGCATGTCGTTCTGGTTGGTGATAACAATCTGTACTCAATATCCCCATGCTCGCTAACGCCACAGCAGAATGTCCAATGTTACATAGCATTCAGACAGCACTTTTTGAACAATTCTGAGTGTGCTGATTGAAGGTCACCCAGCTGAGCTCGTAATGTGGCTCATTTCCATTTAACAGAAGCCAGACGCCTAGTGTCCCACACTGTGCAAACAAAAGGGATATGTTCAAGTCTCGTGCCTCTCTTAGAGCTTATCCCTTCCTCATTGCATTGTCTACAGAATTGCAGCAGCCAATCAGAGGTGACTTGCTGCCCAGTCAGCCTTTCACACCTCTCTCTCTCTCTCTCTCACTCTCTCTCCCTCTCTCGCTGTCGCCCTCTCTCTCCCTCTCTCTCTCCCTCCCTCTCTCTCTCCATCTCTCTCTCTGTCTCTCTCACTGTCTTTCTCTCTCTCTGTCTTGCTGTCTGTCTTTCTCTCTTGCTTTTTCTCTCTTTCCTTCTCTCGCTCTCTCTTCCTCGCTCTCTGTCTTGCTGTCTCTCTCGGTCTCTCTTGCTCACTCACACTCTCTGTCTTGCTGTCTGTTTCCCTCTTGCTCTCTCTCTCTCTTTCCTTCTCTCGCTCTCTCCCTCTTTCTCTCACTCTCTCTCTCCCTCTCTCTCTCTCTGTCTAGCTGTCTGTCTCTCTCCTGCTCTCTCTCTCTTTCCTTCTCTCGCTCTCTCCCTCTCTCTCTGTCTTGCTGTCTGTCTCTCTCTTGCTCTCTCTCTCTTTTCATCTTTCGCGCTCTCCCTCTCTCTCTCTCATTCTCTCTCCCTCCCTCTCTCTCTCTCTGTCTTTCTCCCTCTCTCTCTCTACTGCTCTCTCCCTCCGTTTCTCTCTCTCTCGCTGTCCCTCTCTCCAGCGTTAATGACAGTTGAAGTGTTTCAATGTGCTGTTTGTCTGCTCGATAGGTGAGCGGGTGATGGAGACGGAGGAGGTGCGTATTGTGAGGGACCAGGGTTTACACTCGCTCATCATCCTCCATGCAGTCAGTGACAATGAGGGAGAGTACGCTGCAATTGCCCAGAACCCCCACGGAGACGCCTTCTGCTCAGCCGACCTCTACGTTGAAGAGCCACGCCCAGTGGTCTCCTCGCCAATGTAAGAAAACAGCAAGGGGTAGGCTCACGTACAGGACACGTGCATTCCCATAGCCCCTCACACCACCTCGGGCAGTCCCAGAGATCCTGACAGCCAATGAGGTGCCGTCAGAGTGTGGCCACACTGTTGCATTGTGGGAAATACCGCATTGGCGCACAGCAAGATTTCACAAACTCCCTGAACAGAAATGACCGGGTGTTGATTGAGGGTCAAAAGTCAGGCCCAGGAGAATAGGGAGACCCTGAAACCACAGGGATGTCCATTTGTCCCTTTTCAGAGGGAAGGTGGAGGGCGTCTATTTGTCCTCTCAGCTGGTTGGCAGCACTGGTACCAGTGCAGCACCCCCTTCTGTACTGCACCAGTCTGCCTGAGGAACAAGCTCCACACAACTTAGCACCACCACATCAGCTGGAAATCTCAATCACAGGATTCCAGGGGATCCCAGAAATTCCTGCGGCCAGGTTTTTGTGATCAGTTGGTCTCACACTCCTGAGTTTCTTGGATCAAGAGATCCTTCAAGCCTGGAGTTTTGTGGCCGGTTGATCCGCTGTGTTTGAGTTTATGCTGTAAATAGATCCCTCAAATCTGAATCTCCAGCAGCAAGAGATCCTGAGCTTCAGTGATCAGTAAGACTGCGTGTGACTGGGATTGCAAGGCTCATAGATCCTTTGAGTCAACTACAATAGATCCCTAGTGCCTCAATTCTTACAGACGCACAACTCCTTGTGTTTGACTTTCTGTGGCCATTAGATCAACTGTGTCTGGGTCCATGGTGGTCAGTAGATCACCCGTGCCTGAGTTTCGGCGGTCAACAGATCCCTTTGTGTCCGAGTGCCTGTGGTAATCGATCACCTGCACCCACGTTTGAGCAGTCAGTAAATCCATTGTGTGTACCCAGGCCTCTCAACGAGAAACCCCCACCCCACCACAGCCTTCTAAAATCCATCAATTACAGGCCTCAACTCCTCACATGACCTGCAATTTCCCCAATTGATTAATTTACTTGCAAAGCCCATTAAAGGATTTTTATTGAATTCATTGGCCATGATGGGATTTGAAACCAGGTCCCCAGAACGTTACCTGGGTCTCTGGATTAATAGCCTAGCGACAGTACCCCAGGCTGTAGCTCAGTACCTTGTTCCTGCTTTCTCCCCCCTACCCCTTTGACCCCCTTGGCCCTCAGAATTGCCCTTCACCTTCTCTCTTCTGTCCCCAGGGCCAAACTAGAAAAGATGCCGTCAATCCCTGAGGAGCCAGAAGTCCCGGAGAACGAGACAGAGCGTTTCACCATGCCGGACTTTATCAAACCCATCCAGAACGTGGAGGTGACAGAAGGCAAAGATGCAGTGCTAGAGTGCCAGGTTACCGGCCTGCCCTATCCTGCCATCACCTGGTATCACAATGGCCACAGGCTGGACAGCACAGACGAGAGGAGAATGACACAGTGTACGTGCACTCACTAAAACCTCCAGGGGGAGGCGCTAACAGACAGGGCTGTGTGGTTGTTGTTGGCCTGCATTTTATCAGGATGTAAGAGGATATACTCACAACCAATTGGGCAGGGTGATGGCACAGTGGTACACTCACTGGACTAATCACCCTGAAACTCTTGGGGCCTGGGTTCAAATCCTGCCATGCTGAAACTGGAATTCAATTGTAAATTTTTCTTTAAAAAATCTGAATCTACTGATAACGATTGTCAGGAAAGACCCATCTGCTTTGCTCATGTTCTTTAGGGAAGGAAACTGCCATCCTTAGCTGGTCTGGCCTACATGTGACTCCTGACCCACAGCATTGTGGGTGACTCTCACCTGCCCTCTCAACCCACTCATCACTCCCTCCATTACCACATCCAACGGCTCAGCCACCATTGGCAACTGAGGGACACCCGTCAAGACCCTCTGAATCCTTAACTCCTCGACAGACCTTACTGGGTCGTAACGTGTGATCCTGTTGCTGTCACGTGCTTATGGAATGTTCTGGAATTTCGATGGTTTGCTCAGAGAGAATGGACTGGGGATGGGAAGCAGGAGTAGGGCCCACCCAGCCTGGACCACCATCCCCTGTCAATGGCTGAGGAACCAAAGGCACGAGGCAGGCCATGGATCACATGGCATCCGAGGCAAGGTCAGTTGACCTGGCCGGGTGTGGGTCAGAGGTCACGGTCATGCCCCCACCTCCCATTCCCCCACCCACCCCACCCTCCCCTGCTTGCTGCCCACCTCATGACGTTTTAAAAGTTTCATCATCATTGGCTTCTCTCTGCCACAGATAAAGACATCCATCGCTTGGTCATTCGCTGTGCTGACCATTCTCACGCGGGAGTATATAAAAGTGTCATAGCCAACAAGGTGGGGAAGGCTACAAGCTACGCCCACATATATGTATCTGGTAAGATCCTGTCCCGACTATCGCTGTCATACTCACTGGAAACTCCAACAGCATGACTGTTACTAACTCCCAGCAGCCAACAGATCCCAATCTGCAGAGCAGACACAGGCCATTCAGTCAGACACGTCCCTGCTGGCCTTTCTGTCCCACTCAAGCCTCCTCTGATCTTTCCACATTGAACACTACCGAGGTAACGCTCCACTGTAATCTCTCTCGAGTTTTCATCATTGAGTCTCCCCCGAAACCCAGTGAAACTATCCATTTGAGGAGACTATTCATTTTCTCATAGACCATTCACTTCCTCGGAGACCATTCACTTCCTTGGAGACCATTCACTTCCTGTGGGAGGCACTGAGCTCATCATTGACCTGGTGATAGAGGGTCTTCTCAATTTTCCACAGGGATTTCTTGGTGACCAGCTTTAAATTGACGGACTCTAGATAATGCTCTTTCCCACAAGAAGAAATGTTTCCTCTGTTTCTTCTCTATCAACTCAGATTCAGAGAAAATAGGTGTGGGAGTATAGGCCATTCAGCCCTTCGAGCCTGCTCCCCCATTCAATCATCCAACTCAGCCCCCTGTTCCCCCTTTCTCCCCTGTATCCTTTGATCCCTTCAGGCTTAGGAACGGCTGTCATTCCTCCATATCCATGAAATCATGGATTGAAGATTTGCCTGATTATGCCAAAAGAATATTACCAATCAATCAAACCCCACGGGTAAAACTCTCCAGTTTGTGACCAGCAATCTCACTCTCCAACCTGCTCTGGTTCACATTTCTTCCTGCTAACTCTCCAAGAGCCAGGGCTTTGGTGTTCACAAAGATGAGCGTCCACCAGATGGAGGTAAAGGAGGAGGGTGCAGAATTAGGGCAGAGTGACTGGGAGGGAGTCACGTCTGCGCCCCCTCCCCCTCTCACACACAGTAACTTTTCCTCCGCTGGCTCCATTCAGATTGCCTCAGTGCACTAAACCACCCCCACTCAAACTCCTTTGGGTTTGCCCCCACCTGCCGAAGTTGGGGTCCCTCGGTATCTGACACTCGGAGAATGGCCATGGGGTGGGGGGGGCGTCATTGAAGGTCACCCCATTACCTCATGACCAATTTCCATACCCTCTCATTGGTCACTGCCATCCCTTCCTCACTCACTCTACCCACTGACATTGCCAAACTGACTGAGTGTCCCAGCCCTGACTCTGTGCCTGCCTGTGTGTGAGTGTGAGTGTGTGTGTGTGTGAGTGAGTGTGAGTGTGTGTGTGTGTGTGTGCGTGTGTGTATGTGTGTGTGTGCGTGTGTGTGCATGTGAATGTGTGTGTGTGTGTGTGCGCATATGAGTATGTGTGTGTGTCTGTGTATATGTGTATGTGTGTGTGTGCGTGTGTGTATGTATGTGTATGCGTGTGAGTGTGTGTGTGTGCGCATGTGAGTGTGTGTGTGTGTGTGTGTGTGCGTGTGTGTGCTTGTGTGCGTGTGTGAGTGTGTGTGTGTGTGAATGTGTGAATGTGTATGTGTGTGCACATTAGTGTGTGTATGTTTAACATGGACTGTGAATCCCAGCACTGACTCTGTGTGTGTCTGTGTGTGAGTGCGTGTGCATTAGTGCATGTGTGTGTATGTGTGTGAGTGAGAGAGAGAGTGTGTGTGTTTACGCATTAGTGCGTGTGTGTGTGTGTGCATTAGTGCATGTGTGTGTGTGCGCGCATTAGTGCGTGTGAGTGTGTGTTTGTGTGTGTGTGTGTGTGCGCATTAGTGCATGTGTGTGTGTTTACGCATTAGTGTGTGTGAGTGTGTGTGTGTGTGTGTGTGTGTGTGTGTGTATAACAGGGACTGAGAGTCTCAGCACTGACTGTGTATATTAATATGGGATCTGTGTCTTCATCAGCATGTTTGATAATTGCCCCGTGAGCTGTTCTGCGCTGGATGGATGTTCCGGTTTGTTCCGTGGACCTGCTTGCTGCTTGTCGTGGTGTGATGATAATTTTGGCCCAAAGTCAAGGCCTTGACGTAAATGGCTGAAGATCAGGAGTGAAGGAGGATTGAATTAAATTACTCAGTAATACAGTTATAAATAGAAGCAGGATCCATTTGGAACACAGTACTAAATGGAATATTGCTTCTCCTGCTTTTGTGCTGGGAATGTCAAAATCCCAGGCTCCTCCACATTTTCCTGTCTTTGGCACCTAATAAGCCAGTGATGGCATCAAATTATACACACATGGGTGGGAGTTAGACATGGGAATCGAATCAAGAGGTTCAGGGGTGGGGGTGTAAATACAGAATAACAGACACCCCGGGAGTGAGTTACAGACTGGAATCTAATGGAGGGGTTCTGGGTGGTTTATATACAGAATAACAGATACCCGGGAGTGAGTTACAGACTGGAATCTAATGAAGGAGTTCGGGGTGATTTATATACAGAATAACAGATACCCGGGAGGGAGTTACAAACTGGAATCTAATGAAGGAGTTCGGGGTGATTTATATACAGAATAACAGATACCCCAGGAGGGAGTTACAGACTGGAATCTAATCGAGGGGTTTCGGGATGGTTTACATATAGAATAACAAATACCCGGGAGGGAGTTACAGACTGGAATCTAATCGAGGGGTTTGGCGTCGAGTGCAGTGCGGCTATTTACTTGTTGAGTAACCGCTGTCCTTTCTGTGTCTGTCTGGGGTGTTATGTTTCTGTGCTTCCTGAAGGTGTTTGGCGGTGGATAGTAACACCTTCCATCACTGCGTGGCTGTGTGCTCTGTCACTGAGCCAGGAGGTGATTTGTTTCTCTGAGAGATGCTTTGTGCAGTTTGTTCTTTGGAGCATCGCGAAGCTGTGTGGAATGATGGATGTGTGCTGATGAAATATTTCTGCTCCTCTCTTCACTGTCATCCAGATGTGATCCCAGACCCTCCCAATGGCCCAGCTGTGGTCTCAGCAGTGACTGGCAGGATAGTGACCCTCCAGTGGAACAAACCCAAGAAACTCGACCCATCGATAGGTAACAATGAACAGAAACCGGTGTGGCATTGTGTATGTGTAAACTGTCTGTAAAACCCATCAAACTCTCCCAGGGCAGGGATAGCATGGGGTTAGAGACTGAGTAATGCTCCCTCTACACTGTCCCGTCATCAAACACTCCCAGGGCAGGGGCAGCATGGGGTTAGAGACTGAGTAAAGCTCCCTCTACACCATCCCTTCATCAAGCAGTCCCAGGACAGGGGCAGCATGGGGTTAGAGACTGAGTAAAGCTCCCTCTACACTGCTCCCCCAACAAACAGTCCCAGGGCAGGGGCAGCACGGGGTTAGAGACTGAGTGAAGCTTCCTCTACACCATCCCCATCAAACACTCCCAGGGCAGGAGCAGCATGGGGTTCGAGACTGAGTAAAGCTCCCTCTACACTGTTTTCATATAAAGCCTGAAGAAATGGAAGCAATAGCATTCAGCCCATTGAGCCTGATTTGCCATTTGATGTGATTGTGGCTGATCTTGGGGCTCAGCTCCAGTTTCCCATCTATTCTCTGTCTCCTCTCGATTCCCAGAGTGACCAACATCTGACCCTCTGAGCCTTAAATATGGTACTTTCAGTGCCAGAGGATCCCCAGCCTTCTGGCACAGAGAATTCAGAAGATTACCAACCCTTGGAGAGAATTCTCCTCATCCCAGTCCAAGATGGTGGCCCATTTATCCCGAGCTTGTGTCTTTGTTCTTGCGTGAGCTACTCCCCAGGGTGGGTCAGCAGGTTTGGAGGATGGTCAGACTCCTTCCTGATGTATCGAGGCCTCTCTCCCTCCCACTCGGTTTGAGTAGTGAGGTGTGACCAATCTTTGACGCTTTGATCTGACCCAGTCTGTCACCTTCCCTCACTTGGAATGTCAAAGGGTCAGTAACAAAGGGATGTCATTTTAAAGTGAAAGGCAGGAGGTTTAGAGGGGATTTGAGGTAACCTGGATCACCCAGAGGAGGTGTGGGGATCTGGAATGCACTGCCTGGAGGGTAGTTGAGGCGGTAAAGCTCAGAACCCTTAAAAAGTACTTGGATGATCTCTTAAAGTGTCATAACATTCATATGGGCCTAATGAGAGAAATTGGGACTAATATAGTTCAAGCTGGTCGACTCAATGGGCTGAAGGGCCTTTGGCATACTGCATAATTCTGTGATACCATTGGGTCAGACAGAGTCCCCACTCCCTGCTTCTTCCCTGCTTTTGGGAATCTCTGAACGTACATCAACAATTAGTCAGAACGTTGTGGAGTTCATGACCCACCCTGAAAGAGTTCAAAGCGTAGACATCCCAGGACAGGGGAAGGTGGTAGTGTCCCTGGGCTAGCAATCCAGAAGAGTGGTGGGTGCATGTGGAATGCGCTGCCAGCAGTGGTAGTGGAGTCAGATACTTTAGAGACTTTTAAGCGACTCTTGGATAGGCACATGGAGGATAGTAAAATGTAGGGTATGCAGGGTAGATTGATCTTAGTAGGATAATAGGTCAGCACAACATCATGGGCCGAAGGGCCTGTACTGTGCTGTACTGTTCTATGTTCTATGTTTAACCCTGGGGTATCATCCTAGGAGACATGGGTTTGAATCCTATTCTGGTGGATGGTTAAAAATTTGAATTCAATGCTTCTCCCGCAAAAAAAATCTGGAATAAACATAGCCTCCTGGTAACCACTGGTCAATGACTGTTCAGGAAGAGTCCATTCAGCCCATCCAGGCTGTTTGGTTGCTCGACTAGATCACAACTGATTCTCTCCCTCAACATCGTTTTCCCACACTAGTGCCGAATCTGTTGATTTCTTTAAATATTCTGTCATCTAAGTTGTTAATAAATATTGTCAACAGATGGGGTGTGGACTCAGAGTCATGTGGGACATCTGTCAGTCACACCCAGTCAATGTCCCGTTCCCTCCTGCTTCAGCCAGCTTTTTCAGCAGGTTCAGGATTGGTCTTAGATGCTATGAGACTTAAAACAGAGACTTTATCAAACACCCTGCCAAAGTCATTACAATATATATTCATGGCTTGCACGAGGAAGGGGGAATGTACTGTCGCCATGTTTGCGAATTGGACAAATCCAGGGGAAGCCCAGTGGTGAGGATACCACAAAGAAATGGCAGTGGGATACGGACAGGTGAAGCAAGATGGGAAATACTTAGCAGATGGAATATCACGTGGGAAAATGTGAGGTTATTCACATTGGCAGGAAGAAGAGAGGAGCTGAATATTATTTAAATGGAGAACGACTGCAGAAAGCTACAACATGGAGGGATTAGGGAGTGATGTGCATGAATCACAAAAAGCCAGTATCCAAGTTCAGCGAATAATACGCAAAGCAAGTGGAATGTGGGCCTATATTTCAAAGGAAACGGACAGAAAAGAAAGGGAGGTTTTGCTAAAATTATACAGACTACCGCTGGAATACGCTAAACAGTTTTGGGCCCCTTATCTAAGGAAAGATGTAGGGCATTGAAGGCAGTCCAGGGAAGGTTCACTCGGCTGGTACCAGGTACAGAGGGACTGTCTTATGAGGAAAGGTTGAGTAGGTTGGGCCTGTACTCAATGGAGTTTAGATGAATGAGAGGAGATCTCACAGAATCATACAAGATTCTTCGGAGTCGATGCTGAGAGGTTGTTTCCCATGTTGGGGAAATGCAGGACCGGCAGAGGGCGATAATCTCACAATATAGGGGCACCCAGTTAAAACAGAGATGTGGAGGAATTTCTTCTCTCAGGAGGCAGTGTGGAATTCCTTACCACAGAGGGGCTGTCGAGGCTGGGCCAGTAAGTATATTCAAGGCTGAGATAGAGTTTTCATCAGTAAGGTGAAGCAAGGGTTATAGGGACAAGGCAGGAAAGCGGTGTTGAGGATTATCAGAACAGCCATGATCTTATTGAATGATGGAGCAGACTCAATGGGCTGAATGGCCTACTTCTGCTCCTATGTTTTATTGTTTTAGCTAAAGTCCAAGGAGACCATAGGGCTGCTTTCTCATGAGAGAGAGATATAGAGAGACAGAAAGAGAGCTGGCGGTGCTTTAACCTGAGGGTCACCATGTCTCAGGTGAGGGGAGAGATTGAGAAGGAGAGTCCTTCATGGTAATCTTAGCTGATGTGGGAATTGAACCCATGCAGTTAATGTCACACTGCATCATAAACCAGCTGTCCAGTGAACTGAGCTAACCAACCCACTATAGTATCTATAAATAACAGGTAAAATTGCTAAAGGATTCCAGGAAGTCCTGCATCGCAGCAGGCACTGTAAAAATGCAAGTCTTTCGTTGTTAGGATAGAAAGATGTGAAAGTTGACATGTAAACACCCCCACACTGGCACACCAGGAGAGGTGCTCAGTTACGAGTGGTGTACCACAAGGATCTGTCCTGGGTCCTCTTCTATTTGTGATTTTTGTAAATAATTTGGATGAAGGAGTGGAAGGGTGGATTAGCAAGCTCGCGGACGATACGAAGGTGGGTCGCGTTGTGGACAGTGCGGAGAGCTGTTCTAGGTTACAAAGGGACATTGATAGGATGCAGAGCTGGGCTGAGAAGTGGCAGGTGGAATTTAACCCTGAAAAGTGTGAGGTGATTCATTTTGGAAGGACAAACTTGAAAGCAGAATACAGGGTTAACGGAAAGATTCTCAGCAGTGTGGAGGAGCAGAGGGATCTTGGGGTTCATGTCCACAGTTCCCTGAGAGCTGCCACCCAGGTAGATAGAGTTGTTAAGAAGGCGTATGGTATGTTAGCTTTCATTAATAGAGGGATTGAGTTCAAGAGCCGTGAAGTTATGCTCCAGCTATACAAAAGCCTGGTTCGGCCACATCTGGAGTATTGCGTCCAGTTCTGGTCACCTCACTGCAGGAAAGATGTGGAAGCGTTGGAAAAGGTGCAGAGGAGATTTACCAGGATGTTGCCTGGAATGGAGGGAAGGTCTTACGAGGAAAGGTTGAGAGAGCTAGGGCTTTTCTCTTTAGAACGACGAAGGATGAGAGGTGACTTGATAAAGGTGTACAAAATGATCAGAGGTATCGATAGAGTGGACAGCCAGAGACTTTTTCCTAGGGTGGAGGTAGCTATTACGAGGGGGCATAGTTTTAAAATGAATGGAGGTAGATACAGGGGAGACGTCAGAGGTAGGTTCTTTACTCAGAGAGTGGTAAGGGCGTGGAATGCATTGCCGGAGAGGGTAGTGGAGTCGGCCTCATTAGGGGCATTTAAGCGGCTATTAGATAGGCATATGGATGATAGTATAAGGTAGGGGTGGAGGTTAGATAAACCTTAGGATTAGGGTAAAAGTTCGGCACAACAACGTGGGCCAAAGGGCCTGTACTGTGCTGTACTGTTCTATGTTCCATGTTCCATGTTCCATGTTCCATGTTCCATGTTCCATGTTCCATGTTCCGTGTTCTATGTTCCATGTTCCGTGTTCTATGTTCTGTGTTCTATGTTCTGTGTTCTGTGTTCCATGTTCTGTGTTCTATGTTCTATGTTGTATGTTCTGTGTTCTGTGTTCTATGTTCTATGTTGTATGTTCTATGTTCTATGTTCTGTGTTCTGTGTTCTATGTTCTGTGTTCTATGTTCTATGTTCTATGTTCCGTGTTCTATGTTCCGTGTTCTATGTTCTATGTTCTAGACGGCCACCTATTTGCATACACTGGCTGGCACTGACGGACGCACACACATAGTGACAGGAGTAGGCCATTCAGCCCATTGAGCATGCTGTTCTATTCAACCAGACATGGGAAACTAGAATATGGAGACTCAATAGCCTAGTGCAATAGCCTAGTGGTATTATCGCTGGACTTTTAATCCAGACACCCAGATAATGTTCCAGGGATACAGGTTTGAATCGTGCCATGGCAGATGGTGGAATTTGAATTCAGTAAATATCTGGAATTAAGAATCTAATGATGACCATGAATCTATTGTCGATTGTTGGAAAAAACCCATCTGGTTCACTAATGTCCTTTAGGGAAGGAAACTGCCATCCTTACCTGGTCTGGCCTACATGTGACTCCAGACCCACAGCAATGTGGTTGACACTTAACTGCCCTCTGGGTAATTAGGGATAAGCAATAAATGCTGCCTAGCTTCCATCTCAGCCTTGACTATACTTACTGACCCATCCTCGATAGCCCTTCTGTGGTAAGGAATTCTGCGGATTCACTGCCCTCTGAGTGAAGAAATTCCACCTCATCACTGCCTTAATGGAATGTCCCTATATTCCAAGATTATGGCCCTCTGCCAGGATACCCTCATCCCTTGAATGAATAAGAAAAAAATTCCAACCTTCTGAAGTAGGAATCATATAACCACATTCCTCAGATATCAGGAGCATGGAGTCAGGAATTCAGTATTACACACTGTCCCCTCTATGTGTGTGTCTATGTGCATGTGTGTGTGTGTGTGTGTGTGTGTGTGTGTGTGTGTGTAAGAGAGTGAATGTGTGTGTATGTGAGAGAGTGTGTGTAAGAGAGTGAATGTGTGTGTATGTGAGAGAGTGTGTGTAAGAGAGAGAATGTGTGTGTGTGTGAGAGAGAGAGTGTGTGTGTGTCTGTCTGTGTGTGTGAGGCAGAGTGTGTAAGAGAGTGAGTGTGTGTGTGAGAGAGAGTGTATGTGTGTGTCTGTCTGTGTGTGTGTGAGACAGTGTGTAAGAGAGTGAGCGTGTGTGTGTGCGCGCACGTGTGAGAGTGTTTGCGTTTGTGTGTGTGTGAAAGTATGTGATGAAGGGTCTAGGCCTGAAACGTCAGCCTTCCTGCTCCTCTGATGCTGCTTGACCTGCTGTGTTCATCCAGCTCTACATCTTGTTATCTCTGAGTAAGTGTGTATTTGTGTGTATGTGAAAGTGAGTGTGAGAGTGTGTGATTGTATGTGAAAGTGTGTATGTGAGTGTGTGTGAGTCTATGTTAAAGTGTGTGTGATTGTGTATGTGTGTGTGTGTGACTGTGTGTGATTGTATGTGAAAGTGTATGTGTGTGTGACTGTGTGTGTGAGTGTGTGAGAGAGTGTATTTGTGTGTGTGACGGAGTGTGCGTGAAGGTGGATGTGTGTGTGAAAGTGTGAGTGAGTGTGAGTGCGTGTGTGTGAGTGTATGTATATGTGTGTGAGTGTATGTGTGAGTGTGTGTGAGTGTGTGCGTGTATGAGTGTGTGTGTGTGAGTGTGCATGTGAGTGTATGTGTGTATGAGTGTGAGTGTATGAGTGTGTGTGTGTGTGTGTGACGGAGTGTGTGCGTGTGAGTGTGGGTGTGTGAGTGTGTGTGTGTGATGGAGTGTGTGTGTGAGTGTGAGTGAGTGTGTGTGAGAGAGAGTGTGTGTGTCTGTCTGTGTGAGTGTGTGAGACAGTGTGTAAGAGAGTGAGCCTGTGTGTGTGTGTACGTGTGCGCGCGTGAGAGTGTTTGTGTTTGTGTGTATGTGTGAAAGTATGTGAGTAAGTGTGTATTTGTGTGTATGTGAAAGTGAGTTTGAGTGTGTGTGATTGTGTTTGTGTGTGAGTGTATGTGAAAATGCGTGTGTGAGTGTGAGTCTATGTTAAAATGTGTGTGTGACTGTGTGTGAATGTATTTGAAAGTGTATGTGTGTGTGACTGTGTGTGTGCGTGTGTGTGTATGACTGTATGTGTGTGAGTGTGTGTGTGTGAGAGAGAGTGTATATGTGTGTGTGATGGAGTGTGTGCGAATGTGAGTGTGTATGTGAAAGTGTGAGTGCGTGTGTGTGTGTGAGTGTGTGTGTGAGCATGGTGTGTGTGTGAGTGTGTGTGTTTGAGTGTGTGAGTGTGAGAGTGTGTGTGTGTGCATGCGTGTGAGGCGGAGTTTATGAGTGTGTGTGTGAGTGTGAGTGTGTGTGTGTGACGGAGTGTGTGAGTGTGTGTGCGTGACGGAGTGTGTGAGTGTGTTTGTGAGTGTGTGTGCGTGACGGAGTGTGTGAGTGTGAGTGTGTGTGTGTGTGTGTGTGTGTGTGAGCGTGACGGAGTGTGTGAGTGTGAGTGTGAGTGCATGTTGGTGATGATTCTCCCCTCATGCCTTGCAGATCCTGCCACGCTGACCTATGTTATTCAAAGCCAGGTGGTGGGTACACATCAGTGGCACGTCCTGAAAGCCAACATCAAGGACACCAGCTACACCGTCCAGTCCCTGAATAAAGGCAGCCAGTACTTGTTCCGGATCCAGAGTGCAACATCAAAGAGCTGCAGCAAGCCCTCCCCCGTCTCAGAGCCCATTAAATTATTGGACAGAGGTAAGGAGCCCGTGTGTGGTGTGTCTGGTGACGGACTTACCCCGGGGGGAGGGGAGATGGTAACTGAGTGACACTGGGTCATGGGCCATATCCAAACACAAAACCGAGGACTGGGCTCCATTCCCAATGAATGGAATGTGAAGCAGGGAAATGATGTTAAACTTACATCACACCTTTGTTAGATCAAATGGACAAGTTTATCCTTCTTATTGGATGTGGGTGTCACTGGCTGGGTTGGTATTTATTGTCCCGTCCCTAGTTGCCCCTTGAGAGGGTGGGGGTGAGCTGCCTTCTTGAACCGCTGCAGTCCATGCACTCTACAGTTCTGGTCTCCACATTGGAGAAAGGGAATTAGACGCACCAGGGAAAATCCAAAATTGATGTTCTTTTAGAAAGCCTACAGTGTGGAAGAAGGCCATTCAGCCCACTGAGTCCACACCAACCCTCCCACCCCCTACTCCATCCCTGTAACCCTGCATTTACCATGGCTTACCCACCTAGCCTGCACATTCCTAGACACTAGCATGGACAATTTCCCATGGCCAATCCAACTTAACCTGCACATCTTTGGACTGTGGGAGGAAACCGGAGCACCCGGAGGAAACCCACGCAGACACGGGGAGAATGTGCAAACTCCACATAGACAGTTGTGCGAGGCTGGAATCAAACCCAGGTCCAGTGAGCCACTGAGTCACCCGCTATTTAATGGGATTATACTGGAACTGAGAGGTTATGCTAATCAAGGTGCATTGAACTGGCTTGAAGCTATATCCTGTAGAATCAAGAGTGATCTGGTTGAGATCTTCAGGATTGTGAAAGGGATCAATAGATTTCATGCAGAGAAGACACTCCCATCAGCAGAGCTCAGATCTGGTCTGCTACGCCCAGTCTCAATACACAGGCAGCACTGCGCTCTCAAAAAATTAAAATCCTCTGGAGTTTAGATCAAATGTGTAAAATTCTCGAGATCTTAACAAGGGTAGACAGTTAGTAACAGCAGTGTGTACTATCTACAAGATGCACTGCAGAAATTCACCAAAGATCCTCAGACAGCACCTTCCAAACCCACGACCACTTCCATCTAGAAGGGCAAGGGCAGCTGATAAGGGGAGGCAATAGCCTGACGATATTATCAATAGACTATTAATCCAAAAATTTAGCTCATGCTCTGGGAACCTGGCTTCAAATCCCACCACGGTGGAATTTGAATTCAATAAATAAAATCTATTTATGGAATTAAGAGTCTAATGATGACCAGGAATCCATTGTCGATTATTGGAAAAACCTATTTGGTTCACTAATATCCATTAGGGAAGGAATCCTTACCTGGTCTGGCCTACATGTGACTCCAGACCCACAGCAATGTGGTTGACTCTTAATTGCCCTCTGGGCAATTAGGGATGGGCAATAAATGCTGCCTGGCCAGTGACGCCCTCATCCTGTGAGTGAACTTAAAAAATAATACATGGGAACACCATCCCCTCCAAGTTCCCCTCCAAGCCCCTCACCGTCCTGACTTGGAAATATATCACCGTCCCTTCAGTGTCGCTGGTTCAAAATCCTGGAATTCCCTCCCTAAGGACATTGTGGGTCAACCCACAGCAAGAGGACTGCAGCGGTTCAAGAAGGCAGCTCACCACCACCTTCTCAAGGGGCAACTAGGGATGGGCAATAAATACTAACCAGCCAGAGACACCCACATCCAATTAATTGATTAAGAAAAGATACTGAAAGGCAATTTTACCCACCTGCAGAGTCTGCTATATTGAATCATGTTATCAGGAACAGTATTGTTCAACATATTCAGGATGGAAATCAATATAATTTTGGATGATGACAGAATCAGTGGATTGACAGTAAAGTTGAGATGAAGGAAAAGGTTTCAACTGGTGGATTAGTTTGAGGGGCCGAGTGGCCTTTTTCTGTTTCTGTTTCTGTTTATGTTCTTTCTCCATGATACCACTGGAAAGTAATTTCTACATCACCATTCCCAACTTCACAATGTCCTGGCGTGTGTAACTGTCAATGAAGTGTGTTCAGAATCTAGTCACGGTGGCTCAGTGCTTAGCACTGCTGCCTCACAGCGCCAGGGATATGGGTTTGATCCACCCTCGGGCAACTGTCTGTGTGGAGTTTGCACATTCTCCCCGTATCTGCATGGGTTTCCTCCCACAGTCCAAAGGTGTGCAGGTTTGGGTGGATTGGCCATACTAAATTGCCCACAGTGTGCAGGTTAGGTGGGTTAGCCATAGGAAATGCAGGCTTACAGGGATAGGGTAGTGGATCATTCTTTGGAGGGTTTGTGAAGACTCGATGGGCCAAGTGGCCTCTATCTGTACCTTAGGGATTCTATTTGCTTTCTAGTCTTTGGAGCAGATTCCTCTTGCTCTGAGCTGGGAGTGCTGTTGGAAGTATGAAAAGGACAGACATTGACACTGACTCACTCATCCTTTCTGCAGGTCCCTATCTGGAGGAAGCTCCATGTTTTATCGACAAGCCGGATGTAGTGTTTGCTGTGGAAAACCAGAGCAGCTGCATTACCTGCACCCTGAATTATGTGCAGGCAGATGTCTCATGGACAAGGTAATAGCAAGATATGTCGCCTGTGCTTCTGAGGGTGAGTGGGAGCTATCACAGGCAGGCTTGGTGAGGGACTGCACTATCTTGCATGAGATGGTGTTCCCATGTATCTGCTGCCCTTGTCCTTCTAGATGGAAGTGGTCGTGGATTTGGAAGGTGCTGTCTGAAGGTCACTGATGAATTTCTGCAGTGTTTCTTGTATATAATACACACTGCTGCTACTGAGTGTCGGTGGTGGAGGGAGTGGGATGTGGATGTGGTGCCAATCAAGCGGCTGCTTTGTCCTGGATGGTGTCAAGCTTCTTGAGTGTTGTTGGGGCTGCCCCCATCCAGGCAAGTGGGGAGTATTCCATCACACTCCTGACTTGTCTCGTCCTGTCAGAAATTATAGGTTTCTATGCAATCCCCCCCTCATTCTTCTAAACTCCAGTGAATATAATCCTAACCGGCTCAATTTCTTCATATGTCAGTCCTGCCGTCCCAGGAGTCAATCTGGTAAACTTTTGCTGTATTCCCTTTATAGCAAGAATATCCTTCCTCAGATAAGGAGACCAAAACTGCACAAAATATTCCAGGCATTGTCTCACCAATGCGCGGTACAACTATAGCAAGACATCCTTGTTCCTGTACTCAAATCCTCTTGCTATGAAGGTCAACATACATTTCCCTTCTAACTGCCTGCTGCACCTGCACACCAACTTTCAGCGGCTGGTACATGAGGACACCCAGGTTTCATTGAACATTCACCTCTCTCAATTTACAGCCATTCAAATAATAAACTGCCTTCCTATTTTTGCTGCCAAAGCGGATAACTTCACATTTATTCATATTACACTGCATCTGCCACACATTTGCCCACTCAATCAGCCCGTCTAAATACACTGCAATATCTCAGCATCCTCCTCACAGCTCACTCTTCCATCCAGCTTTGTGCCAACTGCAAGTTTTGAGATATTACATTTAGTTCCCTTAATTAAGTCATTAACATATATTGTGACCAGCTGGAGTCTGAGTACCAACCCAACCAGTCACCACCTGGTATTCAGAAAAACACCCATAGAAACATGTAGAAATATAGAAGATAAGAGCAGGAGGAGGCCATTCAGCCCTTCAAGCCTGCTCCGCCATTCTTCATGATCATGGCTGATCGTCCAACTCAACAGCCTAATCCTGCTTTCTCCCCATAACCTTTGACCCCATTCATCCCAAGTGCTGTATCTAGCCACCTCTTGAACACATTCAATGTTTTGGCATCAACTACTTCCTGTGGGAATGAATCCCACAGGCTCACCACTCTTTGGGTGAAGAAATGTCTCCTCATCTCCGTCCTAAATGGTTTACCCCGAATCCTCATACTGTGCCCCTGGTCCTGGACACACCCACCATCGGGAACATCCTCCCTGCATCTACCCTGTCCAGTCCTGTTAGAATTTTTTAAGTCTCTATGGGATCCCCCCATCATTCGTCTGAACTCCAGCGAAAACAATCCCAACCTAGTCAATCTGTCCTCATACATCAGTCCCACCATCCCCGGAATCAGCCTGGTAAACCTTCGCTGCACTCCGTCGAGAGCAAGAGTATCCTTCCTCAGAAAAGGAGACCAGAACTGCACACAATATTCTTCCTCACCAAGTCCTGTACATTTGTTCCTACTGTTTGTTTCATGTTTGCTAATCAATTTTCTGTCTCAATACACTACTCCAATAGCGTGTGCTTTAATTTTACACATTAATCTCTACAAGGAGTTTTGTTAAAAGCCTTCTAAATGTCCAAATAAACCACATCCACTGGCTCTCCCTGATTTACTCTACTTGATACATTCTTGAAGAATTCTAGCAGATTTGTCAAGCATAAGTTCCTTTTTGTAAATCCATACTGATTGCCTGATTCTACTACAGTTTTCTACGTGCTGTGCTACAAAATCTTTGATGATGGGCTCTAACATTATCCCCATTACCGATATTAGACTCACTGATCCATAATTCCCTGTTTTATTCTTACCTCCCCCTTTAAATACTGGAGTTATATTAACTACCCTCCAATCTGTGGGAACTGATCCAGAGTCTAAAGAATCTTCAAAGATGACCAATAATGCATCCACTATTTTTACGGCCACTTCTTTAAATAGACTGGGATGTAGATTATTAGGCCCTGGAAATTTATCAGCCTTCAATCCCATCAATTTCTCCAACACCATTTCTCTACTAATACAGATTTACTTCATTCTTCTCTCTCATTAAGTCCTGTGATTCTCATTATTTCTGGCATGTTATTTGTGTTCTTCTTTATGAAGACAGAAGGGGAGTATGAATTTAATTCGTCAGCCATTTCTTTGCTCCCCATTATAAATTCCCCTGTTTCTGACCGCAAGGGACCTACATTATGAGATTGGAAAGACTGGAGGTGTTTTCCTTAGAGCAATGGAGACCAAGAGGGGACATGATTGAAATGTATAAAATGATGAGGCGCATCAATAGGGTAGACAGGAAGAAACCTTTCTCTTTGCATGGAGGGATTAATGATCGGGGGCATAGATTTGAGGTAAGGGACAGAAGGTTTAAAGGAGATGTGAGGAAAATCTTGTCCATCCAGAGGGTGTTGGGAATCTGGAACTCACTGCCTGTAAGAGTGGGGGAGCAGAGACCCTCATAACATTGAAGACATGTTTAGATGTGCACCTATAATGCCAAGGCTACAGGCTAAGTGCAGGGAAATTGGATTAGAATGGTTAGGTGGTTGTTTCCGACCAGCATGGATACAATGGGCCGAAGGGCCTTTGTCTGTACTGTAGATCTCCACGTGACTCTTAACGGTCAAGAAGCCAGAATGCTTAGAATTCAGAGCCCTCAGATGCTGGGTGCTAGAGGACGTCACAGAGATAGGGGGAGGCAGGACATGAGTGAGTTTGTAAACATGGGGGAGAATTTTGAAATCGAGGTGTTGCTTGACCTAACCAGCGTTGGTGAGTGGGCACACAGGGTGATGAGTGAACGACACTAGGTGAGAGATAAACACAAGTAACAGAGTTGTGCATGAGCTTCCGTTTACAGAGAGTGGAAATTGGGAAGCCAGCAGCAGAATACTGGAATATTGCCAAGTTTAGCTGGATAAGATGCTAAAGGAGATTAACAAAGTAGACATAGAGTTGATGCTTCCTCATGTGGGGCAATCTCAGAATGAGAGGTCATCGTTTCAGGATAAAGGGGGCTGATTTCAAACAAAGATGAGGAGAAATTATTTCTCCTAAAGGGTCATGAATCTGTGGAATTCACTCCCCCAGAGTGTGGTGGATGCTGGGACATTGAGGAAATTTAAGAAGACAGACAGGTTTTTAATTAGTAATGGGTTAAAAGGTTATGGAGAGCGGCAGGGGAAGTGGAGCTGAGGCCAAGATGTATTCAGCCATGATTATATTAAATGGTGGAACAAGCTCGATAGGCTGAATGGCCTACTCCTGCTTCTAGTTCTTACATTATGTTCTTATACATGTCCTGTGATGTATCCCCACTGGACAAATACCAATTTGAGGACATTTCTAGTCGGGAAACTTGAGCACCACAACCAAGTATCTTTTGTAGAAACTCTAGAGTCATTGAGCCATACAGCACAGAAACAGACGCTTTGGCCCAAATCATCCATGCTGACCAGATATCCTGTATAAATCTAGTCCCATTTGCCAGCATTTGGCCCATATCCCTCTAAACCCTTCCTATTCACATACCCATCCAGATGCCTTTTAAATGTTGTAATTGTACCAGCCTCCACCCCTTCCTCTGGCAGCTCATTCCATACACACACCACCCTCTGCGTGAAAATGTTGTCCCTTAAGACCTTTTTAAATCTTTCCCCTCTCACCTTAAACCTATGCCCGCTAGTTTTAGACTACCCCCATCCTGAGGAAAAGACCTTGGCTATTTACCCTATCCATGCCCCTCATGACTTTATAAACCTCTATAAGATCACCCCTCAGCCTCCAACGCTCCAGGGAAATGTACGTCTAGCCCATCCAGCCTCTGCCTGTAGCTCAAACCCTCCAGTTCCAGCAACATTGTGAATGCTGCTTATTGAGGTGATCTCAATCCTACCTGGTTGATGGTTGACAGGAATGGCGTGGAATTGACCAACAAACCTCGGATCTACGAGCTGAGCATGCCCGATGATGATCAGCACATGCTGAAGATTGTGAAAGTTGGAAAGGCTGATGTTGGAGAGCTGACGGTCACAGCTAGTAACAAACACGGAGAAGATTCCTGTCGAATAGCTCTGCTCCTGGCAGGTGAGCAGCCTCGCTCCTTGTTTCCCACACCTGAGTCCCTGAGAGATTTGCATTTCCTATAGCATCCTCAGTGCATCCCAAAACACTTCACAAAGCCTCCTGAAGTTGGGTTTTAATGATAAAAGGCACGTTTTCTTGGAAGTTTTACCTTAAACTCCTTTAGAAAATTCACAAGAAACACCAAAGTAAAGAGAAAACAATATTTATACTCTATGGGAAGGGAGCACTGATTGGTTTGCAAGTTGTCTGTAATTGGTGGAAGTGTTGCCACGAAAATGGACATCAATTAGTTGATGACTGACAGTTAACTGTCAAGTTTCATTTAAATTTAAACCAGGCTGCTTGACTCTGATTTATCAAGGCATTGACTTGAAAAATAAACCAGAACATTTTTTGACCAGTGCAGACTCAATGGGCCGAATAGCGTTTTTCCTGTGCTGTAACCTGTATCACTGTAACCTGTTTTGGAATCTGGATGCCTGTTTTGTTGAGTTGAAATGGACTCAGTACATGTGCATGTCCCTTCAGTCTGTAAAGACCAGGGTCCTCTGCATCAATATGTACAGCTTCCTGTGTGTGTAAGTGCACCACAATGCTAGCCCCACTGACTGTCCGAAATTGGCTGTTGGTGTCGTTCTCAGCACACTCAGGATTATTTAGCAAATACCGTCCAATCCCTGAATCCCATCCCGTGTTGGATACTGTGTTTTGAGTTTTCGCAGTACGGACTGGCTGGGTATGTTCAGTACTTTCTCTGGAAGCAGGCTATTTGATACAATGGACCAGCCTGTCATCTCCATCACATTACAAGCAGAGCTGTGCTGTTAACTGTCAGTCATCACCTAACTGGTTCTGATCTACCAATCGGCTTCCTGAAGTGTTATCACTGGAGTAATGCAAGAAAACGCAGCTATCTGTGCATGTGGGCATTGTATGACTCCACAGACAGTGAGTACGGTCAGACAGTCTGACCTTGGCTAAGGGATGCACCAGAGCATCGGGGCAAAGTCACCCTGCTCGTCTTTGAAATGATGGGCTGAATGGCCTCATCCTGCGCCAACAGAACTCTGTGGTTCTGCAAAATCGTGAGAACGCTCGAGTCGAAATGAGGGAACAGACCAGTTCAAGGTCTCACCCCATAAAGGGTACACCAGGCGCTGCGGCACTCCTTCAGCATCGAGGGAGCCAGCCTGGGGTCTGGGGGGTGGGGGCTGTGTGAGAGGGGAGCTTAAATCCCAACAACCCCTCAGGGCCTGGGGGGCTACCTCTGGCACCAGCGCGGCCTGACTTCAAGAGTATCTGAGCACTGGGAGAGGACGGCTCTGTTGGGGAAGGAGAACTGCTTGGTTGGTTGTGGACCACACAAGAGCACCCTCATTCAGTGGGGAACCTTCACGTCCCATCGTGGTCAGGGGAAGGGGGTGGGGTGCAATTCCGTGAATCCGAAACCGGGTTTGGGATCCATCGCACGTTCTTCAGCCATGTCCGTTGTGTTGCAGAGGCCCCCCGGTTTGAGTCCATCATGGAAGACATGGTGGTGAGCCCAGAGGAGACAGCAAGGCTGGCTGTGGTGGTCGAAGGGAAACCCTTACCAGACATACTCTGGTTCAAAGTAAGGACCACCGCTCTGGACAGCGCTGTTGGTGGTGGTGGTGGGTTCAGACGGGGGGAATCAGGGAGTTTGGAGGGGACAGGATTGGGCACGGGGAGTATGGGTTAAGGCGGTACAGGGGACACAGGGAAGGGGGCATGGGAGAACAGATGGTGGGGAAGCGGGGTAAAGGTGGACTTGGCGAGACGGAAGCGGGCCGGGGATGTGGGGGGACACAAGGAGGGAGGATGGGTGGGACAGGGGTCCTGGGGGCAGGGGTGGGGGTGTTGGGTGGATGGAGACAAGGGGGAGCGGGGGCCAAGGGGAGGGTAGTCCAGCTCCACCAGAGGAGCCGATGGATATTTGGTGGTGTCGGGCGCGAGGTCATTGGGGGAAGGTTGTTAATGATTCCTGGGAACTGTGAAGATGGGGCATTGGATTCTAGGCTGACCAGTTATAGGCCCTGCCTACACTGTGACTCTAGCCAATGACTGTCCAGGACTCTTAACACTGCCCTCCAGCCAATGAATGACCAGATCTTGCCCCTCCCCTCTGCCCCCAAAGACAGTGACCAACTAGGCTGTGATCTAACCCATCCCACCCTCTGTTTCCGACCATCACGCCAATTTTGTATCTATTTGGCAAGCTTGCCCTGGATCCTATGTGATCTAACCTTACTAACTAGTCACTGCCAATGACTGATATGTTTCCAATCCCTCCCATGTTGACCCTCCAACCAGTGGCTGGCCAGGACTGTCCAAGCCACACTGACCCTTTAGCCAATGAATGGCAAGCAGTGTTGCTTCCCCACTGACCCACCCCCACCCCAACCAATGAATGACCAGGAGTGTTGTATCCACAAAGTCCCTCCAGCCAATGAGTGACCAGGAGTGTTTTATCCGCAAAGTCCCTCCAGCCAATGAGTGACCAGGAGTGTTGTATCCGCAAAGTCCCT